CAACATTCCAGCAGTACTGGTCAATGAGTGTAATAAACATGAATAAGCCTGTGACTTGTTGATCAACTAGATTGTACAGGCTATCTTACACAAAATCACCATCAAGTGATTTGAGCAGAAGGAATCGTCAATCTATATATCTTATAAAGTGGTTCATATACTTCTTCCATTTATGGGAGTGCTAAAACTTAGGTAACAAAAATGTTCTGAAAAATATTATATGTTTCTAGTACATGGGTACAAAGCAAGCTGACTGGAACAGACTGAAAGATTTCCCAAGTCTTCCGAGTTAGTGCTACTGTCCTTTCCCCTTTCTACTATATGTACATCAGTATCTAATTGCTCAACCTTGCGTTAAAACACACACACACACACACAAAAGAAAAAAAACTAGTTAACTTTCTCAGAAAATACTGAAGGCCCTTAAGTCAGAGCTCTAAACTAGGATGAGTAAGACTACCAATTGTGTGATTAGACCATAATAATCAGGAACTTGCCAGGCACTGGTGGCTAGCACCAGTAATCCTAGCTACTCAGGAGGCTGAAATCTGAGGATCATGGTTCAAAGCCAGCCCGGGCAGGAAAGTCCATGAGACTCTTATCTCCAATAAACCACTGGAAAACCAGAAGTGGCTCAAGTTGTAGAGCATTCGCCTTGAGCTGAAGAGCTGAGTGATAGCGCCCAGGCCCAGAGTTCAAGCTCTATGACTGACCGAAAAAAAAAAAAAAGAATCAGGAACTGTTGCATATAAAAATACAAACTTTGGGCTGGGAAGGTGGCTCAGTGTTACATTGCTTGCCTAGCATGCATGAGGCCCTGGGTTCGATTCCTCAGCAACACATAAGCAGAAAAAAAGCCAGAAGTGGTGCTGTGGCTCAAGTGGTAGAGTGCTAGCCTTGAGCTGAAGAGCTGAGGGACAACGCCCAGGCCCAGAGTTCAGGCTCCACGACCAGACTCCCCCTCCAAAAAAATACAAACTTAAGAAGGGGTGGGTTAGGAGGGATGGGTGACAATGTTATCAGACACTTTGTATTCATATACTGTTTTGTAGAATGGGAACTTCTTCGTACAACTACTTAAACATAATAAAAAATTTAAAAATATATAAACTTAGCTGAGTGCCAGTGGCTCATGCCTGTTATCCCAGCTACTAAAGAGGCTAAGATCTGAACTTCAAAGCCAGCCCAGGAAGGAAGTCCGTGAGACTTTATTTATCCAATTAAGCACCAAAAAAGCTGGAAGTAGAGCTATGGTTCAAGCTAGCCTTGAATGAAAAAGCTCATGGAAAGTACACAGGCCCTGAGTTAAAGCCCTAGGACCTGCACCGCCCCCCCCCAAAAAAAAGTAACTTTAAGCCAGGAATGGTAGAGCATACACAGATGTGGCATCAACACTCAGGAGGCAAAGACAAAAGGTTCATGAGCTTGAGGGTAGCTGGGCCTACATAATGAATTTGAGGCAGACTCTATCTAAAAAAAAAACACAACAACAACAACAAAAAACACATTTTGTCATTTCCCTTCCCCTCCCCAAATTAGAAAAATGTATTGATATTCCTCCAGCACTGTTCTTTCTGCTAAGAATTTTTTGCTATTCAGGGTCTTTTATTATTCCATGTAAATTTTTGGATTGCTTCTATTTCCTTGAAGAATGAGGCTGGGATATTGACAGGTATCACACTGAATTTGTAGATAGCCTTTGAAAGTATTGCCATTTTCATGATGTTAATCCTCCCAATCCAGGAGCATGGGAGGTTTTTCCACTTCCTTAGTTCTGCTTTAATTTCCTTTTTCAGGATTTTAAAGTTTTCATCATAGAGGTCCTTCACTTCTTTTAAGTTAACTCCTATAGGTCCCATGGTTTCTCTTATCTGCAATAACTAGTATATGTCTAGGACAAGCAGAAGAGGTCAAAAGCTATGTACATATGACCATATAACCTGATGCTAAGCGAAATGAACCCCAAGACAGGGACACAAGAGGTTTTATCTTTGTTGCTGTTCTTTTTAATGTACTTATAATGTACTATGTGATTTCTTTTTGTTTCTTTGTATGTTCTTCCCCCATGGTACAACCCCTGTTCTCATTGTATTTGATTCTGGTGCCCTGAATCTTGTATATACATTTTCTAATTTGGGGAGGGGAAGGGAAATAACAAAATGATGAAATAAGGATACAGAATGACCCATTGTAACAATGAGATGTATAAGACAGTATGTTGAAAAAAAACTTTACAACTTTGCGGGGGGAGGGGGTAAGAGAGGGGAGGAAGAGTTGGGGAGGTGGGGAGAAAAGGGATGGTAGGGGAAAATTAAGGAAGGTGTAACAATGTTCAATAGGAAATGGACTCATTACCTTGCTCATGTAACTGTAACCCCTCTATACAGTATCTTTACAATAAAAAATATATTATGAAAAAAAGAAAAATGTATATACAAAATGCAGGGCACCAGAATCAAATACAGTGAAAACAGGGGTTATACCATGGGGGAAGAACATAGAAAAGAAACAAAAAAATGACATAGTACATTATAAGTACATTGAAAAACAACAGAAAGAAAGGTAAAACCTCTGTGTCCCTATCTTGGGGTTCATTTCGCTTAGCATCATCTTATATGGTCATACATCTTCAGGGGGGAAGGAGTTAAAGAGGTGGGGAGGGAAGGAATGGTAGGGGGAAAAACAAAGGAGGAGGATGGTAGGGGAAAATTAAGGAGGGTGTAACAATGTTCGATATGAAATGTACTCATTGCCTTACTCATGTAATTGTAACCCTTCTTACAGTATCTTTACAGTAATATACATATATATATATATATATATAGAGAGAGAGAGAGAGAGAGTGTGTGTGTGTAATAAAAAAGCCAAAGAAATGAGACGTTAACATTGTGATGGGACACCTCAAGATTCTGAAAAAAATTGTATCATCATGCCATTTATAGAATAGAAATATGCCCTAAAGGTTTATATGCTAAACACGTATTTCCCAGCTAGTGGCACTATTTGAAAAGGTGGTAAGATGGGGCTTCCCCTGAGGAAGTAGGTCAGAGAGACATGCCCTTGAAGGTCAAACCTACTCCCTGTTCCCTTGCTGTACTTCCTCACTACCATGATACTAGCTGCTCTGCTCTGCTCTGCTATACGTTCGCTGTCAGGATAGACTGAAATCTTTGAAACTTTAAACAAAACAAATATTTTCCCCTCTTAAATTGTTTATTTCTATTATTGGGTCACAGTAATGAAAAATTCCAATTGATACAAAAAATTGGTACCAGAGAAATTTCATTGCTGTTGTAACTAACTGATCATATGGATTTTAAGTATTTGGAACTGGCCTGTGAGAGGAATTTGGAAATTTGGATATATGAGCTAAAAAACATTCTAGAATACTATAAGCAGAGTTTTAATAGTTGATTCAGGTCAGAGCTCAGAAGATTATAATGCCAATAGAACTGTGGACAATAAAGACTATATTCATAAGGTCTCATATAGAAACAAGACTCTATTGGAAATCAGACTAGAAACCATTTATGTATGTTTTGGCAAAGAAACGTTTGTCCATGTCCTGAGACTTTGTGGAAGACTGAGTTTAAAGGCAATAAACAAATGAGTCTGGTGAAGGAAGTTTCAAGACAGTCTGGCATTCAGTTGCAGCAGTTATTAAGAGCTGTTTTGAGCCAAGTTTACAGAGAAAATTGGGAGCAAAAAGCAGAAGAAAAAGTTGCAGTTTGATCAGAAAATCCTGTGTAAAGTTGGCATTAAAGGAAGGTAAGGTTGTGGAAGAGAGCAACACCATTAAAAAGAAGTCAAAGATATTTCATTAGCATAGTAGGAATTATGCGTTGAGAGAATTTCAGAAATAAGCCAGATCCCACCCATTACAACTTTAAAAGTACAAAAGACAAAATTCATTTGCAAGACTGTTTGTTTTTTGTTTCCTTTTTTGCTGAAGATCAAACCCAAGGGCTCATGTATGCTCAACCACTGAATAATGTTGGAACTTTTAAGGTTTGGGTATGGATTAAAAGCACTTTATGAGATGGCCATGAGATTTTGGGGGCCAGGAACAAAACATTATTTTTTAAATATAAAATGTCCCCCACAGGCTCATGGTCCTCTGAGAAGTCTATTCTGAGAAGTGGTAGAAGCCTAGGTGGAAGAAGTAGGTCCAAGGGGATGTGCCTCTGAAGATAATATTTAACACAATCCCATCATCTCCTCAGCTATCTATCATAAGCTCCTACTACCAGGATATTCTGCTTTACAATGGCCTCAGAATCAATGGAGCCAAGAACTATGGACTAAACCCTCTGAAGCCATGAGTCAAAACAAATCCTTCCTCCTTTAACTTGTTTATGTTGGGTATCTTGTCACAGTGAAAAAAGTCTAATGCACACAATTAGAGAAAATGTTGCTATTCTTTGATACATCAAAGTGATGGAATAAGAAATGCAAGCTGAGCAGCAATCAATGTACATTACCCACAGAAACTCAGAAATTCTCGCGGGCTGGGAAGGTGGCTCACTGGTAGGGTGCTTGCTTTGCATGCATGAGGCCCTGGGTTCGATTCCTCAGCACCACATAAGCAGAAAAAGCTGGAAGTGGCGCTGTGGCTCTAGTAGTAGAGCGCTAGCCTTGAGCTGAAGAGCTGAGGGACAGCACTCAGGCCCAGAGTTCAAGCCCCATGACTGACAAAAAAAAAAAGAGAGAGAAACAGAAATTCTCTCATACACCAGTCAGTTGATGACACTGTACCATATCATGTCATCTATTGAGAGGAGCTGACCTAATAGGCGCTAAGTACAAAAGTAAAAGTGCTAAAATAATACATGCACTTCCAAAGGAAGTATTAATGACTTATTCAAAAATTGTCTATACCACCCTGGACATTATCCCTTATGGAAGTACAGATAGGTGAATATATATTTATTTTCAATATGAGACTTTTATAAATGAATCATACCCTAATATCATTTTGATTTTTTTTTTCATTTTTTTACCATGAACTGAGATCCGACAGTTGTTCACCATCTGGAGACAGTATGTTGGTGGTGCCTTGGAAGAATCTCTTGGGCTGGCTTTCTGTCTCCATTTCACCTAAATTGGAAAGAGATAATACCACTCTAAAACAGTTTTACAAATATAGGATTGGAGCCCAAATGGAATGATCCTTGTTTAATCAAGGAACAGAATACATCTTTATGTCATCATTTAAAAGCTATTTTCTGCTGGATGTAGTGGGGTAGATATGTAACACCAACAGTTGGGAGGCTGAGGCAGAAGGAAGAATTCAAAGACAGCCACATAGATAGATTCTGTGTCATGCAAACAAACTGGAATTCTACTTGCTTTAACATAGAAGAAATATGCTTCCAGTCAGCATTCTTAGCAAAAACGTATTCATTACACATAGCATGATATAGAAGCACATGAATTCGTTTTTTGTGCCAGTCCTTGGGGTTTGAACTAAGGGCCTATGTCTGAGCCTTTTTGTCAAGGCTAATGTTTTACCACTTGAGACACAGCTCTACTTCTGGCTGTCTGGCAGTTAACTGGAGATAAGAGCTTTACAGACTTTCCTGCACAAGCTGGATCCTCAGATCTGAGTAGCTAGGATTACAGGCATGAGCCACCGACACCCAGCTTTATATTCTTTAACAGATGAGGAGAACACTGATTACATCAGGCAAAACGTATCAAAGGCAATCAACAGTGTAAAATATTTCTAAACAATGAAAACTCACTAGATGATTAGCAAATATTGTTTACACATTTTAATATCTAAATATTTCCTAAGGTGACATCAAATGGGTTGAAAAAAAATGTTGCCTGGCTGGGTTTGGTGGCATACCCACAATCCCAGCTGATTGGAGAGGCTGAGGCAGGAGGATCAAATTTCTGGGCCAACCTGGGATACCAAGAAACTTTGTCTCACATTAACACAAAGAGCCATCTGATAAATAGTACATAAATAAAAAGTTGCCTTAAACTATTTAAAATAAGAGTATAAGTTTGGGGAGGGAAAAATTATCCAAAAAGAAATATACTTATTACCTGACTTATGTAATTATAATCCCTCTGCACATCACTTTATAATAACAATAAAAAATTTAAAAGTATGTTTGAAGGTACACCTTCAATTGAAACCACATATTTTATTCAATTCATGAATTTGGCATTGTACTAAGTGACTGTATCCTATAAATTTTCTCAGAACAAATAAAAGGACAATGTGGCACCAATGGGAATAATGCTTAACATCTTGTTATCTAACACAACTCTAAAGTTGACAGATAAAGCCCCTTTTCAAATTCACCTTACATGGTTTGGAGGGTATACTTTTAATCTGGTCATCAAAATGAAATGTTAAAGATAATTTAATTCAAGGGCCTATCAATACTTCAGTAGGAAGTATTTGAACTTTGAACTTAAAACTATAGAATTCTTATGGGGAAAACATCAAACAAGAGCATTTGTTTTCCATATTATCAATTAATTCATATTACATTTCTTCTGGAGTTATTCTGTCTTATTTTTTTTGTGGTGGAACTGGGATTTGAACTCAGGGCCAGGTACTGATCCTTAGATTTTTTTTTCTCAAGGCTTACACTCTACCACTTCTGGCTATTTGCTGGGTGAGTGGAGATAAGAGTCTCATAGACTTTCATGCCCAAGCTGGCTTTGAATTGATATGCTCAGATGTCAGCCTCTTAAACAGCCAGGGCTATAGAATTGAGACATGGGTACCTGGATGAAAATTACTGAAATTCATTAAAAAAGTTACATTTATTTCCTTTATACTATGTGCTTTAATATGCACCTTAAAAAATGTGCTGGGTTTTCAACTAACCATCACTAGCAAAAGACTTCAGCCCTTTTCAGCAAATCCCTCCATCTACTGGCATATTTTGGAATAGCTATGAAAGTAAAGATCACGTTACTTTCATTAATCTTTCTGCAATAAATTTCAAGTTAATAATAATTATGGTTTTATTTTCAAGTATATTTCCACTTAATAACCTTTTAGAATGTTCCCATAACTGTAAATAACATCATGCAAGATCAAAGAAAAGTACTTTTATTCACTAAAAATATTGTTACCATATCAGTATCTATTTTCCAAAGCTTACCACCTTTAATTTTAAGTTGCCTAATGAGCAGAAAGATTTCACCAAATCCTTAAGTCCCCATTCTCCTAATAGAGGAGATATGGTTTATTTATTGCCCCTGAATTGCTGAATTGCTTCTTAGAAGTTATCATTAAGCCAGATGCTTGTGCCTCACACTTGTAATCCTAGCTACTCAGGAGGCTTAGATCAGAGGATCACAGTTTTAAGTCAGACCAGGTAGGAAAGTCTATGAGACTCTTATCTCCAGCCACTCACCAAAAATCTGGAAGTGGAGCAGTGGTTCAAGTACCAGAGCACTAGCCTTGAACAAAAAAGCTCAGAGACAGCACCCAGGTCCTGAGTTCAAGCCCCAAGTCTGGCACACACAAGAAAATGTTATCATTAAAAGTCTTGTTTAAAAGGACATCTGAAATGGGCATGGTCATTCCATGCCTGCAATCTCAGCTTCTTGAGAGGCAGAAATGGATAGACTGCCATTTGGGGCCAACCTCAAGAAAAAGCAAAACCTCATCTGAACCAAACAAACTTCAGATGGTGATGCTAACTTGTCATCCCAGCTACTTGGAAGGCCATATGTAGGAGAATCTTGGTCTGAGGCTGACCCCAAGAAAAAAAATGAGACCCTATCTAAAAAAAGTAACCTACAGTAAAAGGTTTGGAAGTATTGCTAGTCAAATGGTAGAATACTAGCCTATCACATGCAAGCTCAAACTCCAGTACCTAAAAATAAAAGTGTTCACTTCAGAAGCACATATATGAAAATTGGAACCATACAGGTAAGAGTAGCATGGCCCACATGCAAGGTTGACATACAAACTCACGGGAAGTTCTGTATTTTTTTTAATATATGTACAATTGTAAAACTAATAAAGTAAATGACAGCCTATACTTCTAATTATACAGTCAAATTGCCAGGAATAACAGACTAAAGCAGTGAAATATTTTTGCTCTTTAAAAAATACAGATGCCATTGTGTATATGTACCCCATTTTCTTGATCCTCATCCACTGAGGGGCATCTGGGCTGATTCCATATCTTGGCTATGGTAAAGAAAGCTGCAATAAACATGACTGTAGTGGTAGCTTTAGTGTATCCTTGTTTGTGATATACTGGACAAATGTCCAGAAGTGGAATTGTTGGGTCACAGAATAGTTCTATGTTTAGTTTTTTGAGGACCCTACATACCACTTTCCAGAGTGGTTGTGGAAATGAATAGAATGCAAGCAATAATGTATTATATATGATGCAAAACTGAGAAAAATAAGAGAAAGGGTAGGTAGAAGGGCAAGGGGTGGGGAATGTTGAAGGGATGACACAGTTCAAGATCCACTGTATACATAAATCACTTGGTTAAATGGCAAAAATGCAATACATAACCTAAAAACTAAGAAAAGCAAGGGAAAGAGTGGGGTGGGAGGGGTAGGTGAGCGTGACTTTAATCAAGAAGCATTGTATTCATAAACTGCTCTGTTGAATGGCAACTCCTTTGTACAACTACCTAAAAGAAGTTTAAAAATATATACAGGGGCTGGGAAGGTGGCTAGGTGGTAAAGCGCATGCCTTGCATGCCAGAGGCCCTGGGTTCCATTCCTCAGCACCACATAAGCAAAAAGAAAAAAGCTGGAAGTGGCGCTGTGGCTCAAGTGGTAGAGCGCTAGCCTTGAGCCGAAGAGCTGAGGGACAGCGTTCAGAGTTCAGGCCCCATGACCGGACCCAAAAAAACAAACAAACAAATAAAAATATATACAGATGTCATCAGTAGTCTCTTAGAAGCATCTAATACTAATGGTGACTCAAGTCACGTTACTTCTTTGTGGTTCAAAATAATGTCATGAAGAGACCACTCAGTTATATCACAGTTTACAGAATCCAATACATGACACTTCTTGCTTTGCTGAAGAAATCTTTAGTGATGGGATTTGAATCTTACCTTAAATTTGAGCAAACCATCTTCTACAGAGATATTTGCTATGACCTCATCACAAATCAACTATGTATCTCTTTTACAATCAGATCACTGAGAGGCAATTAGTTTTTGAATATTTACTGACAACATAAAAAATAAGATGCAAGCCGGGCGCTGGTGGCTCACTCCTGTAATCCTAGCTACTCAGGAGGCTGAGATCTGAGGATCGCGGTTCAAAGCCAGCCGGGGCAAGAGAGACTGTGAGACTCCTATCTCCAATAAACCACCAGAAAACCAGAAGTGGCACTGTAGCTCAAGTGGTAGAGCACTCGCCTTGAGCTGAAGAGCTGAGGGACAGCGCCCAGGCCCAGAGTTCAAGCCCCACTACCGACAAAAAAAAAAAAAATAAGATGCAGATCTGAGGTATAGAAAAATACAGACAATATAAGGTAGCTAATTTCTGAAATTTAGAATTGGAGTATACATGGGAAAAATATCTGTCTGTCTTGTCATTTATTTATTTGTTTGTTTGTTTGTTTAGCCTCTTGAGTAGCTAGGATTACCGGCGTAAGCACTCCGCTTCAAATTTTTATATTTTATTACCTTTTAGTTGATCTACAAAGGAGTCGCCATTCAACAAATCAGTTTATAAGTATATAATGCATCTTGTCATCCCTTTCATCATTCTCCCACATCTCTCCCAACCCAACCTCTCCCCTGAGTTTTCATCATTTTGTAGGATATGCATTGAATATTATGACTGCATTCTCCCTGCCTCTTATCTTCATTTGTCTGCCCCCTCTATGGTCTCTTCACACTGAAGAAAAGTAATGCTATCAATTCATTCAGCCAATAATTCTAGTTTTTAATTCAAACTTGGTTAGGTGTGATTCATCTGTTATCTTCCCCAGCTTTATTGTGTTATAATTAATAATGAAAGAGTACAATATAATATGTAAAATAGGATGATTTGCTGTATGTATATACTATGATCATAATCAGGTCAGCTGACACATCTATCCCCTCACTTATGAACATTTAAGATCTACTGTCCTATCAGATATGAAATATATAGCATGCTACTGTCAATCAATACCATCATGCTGCTACATACCTTTTCTTTTCAGAGGACCAAGAACATTGGGCCTAATGCACTTGACTGGACTCTGACTTGCCCTGCTTTGACAAATAAACAGGATGATGTGATGTTAACTTCCAAGATACAAAATAAATAGCACTACAGCCTGCCAAATAAATAAACTTGATAGCCATATAAGCAGAAATGGAAAGTGCCTATTTTAGGCTGAGTAACTGAAATTCCAATAGATGATTTAATCAGAACTATAGCAACCAACAATAAAATGGCCATTAAAAAATCATTCAATAAGGGCTGGGAAGGTGGCTCAGTGGTAGAGTGCTTGCCTTGCATGCCTGAGGCCCTGGGTTCGATTCCTCAGCACCACATAAGCAAAAAGAAAAAAGCCGGAAATGGTGCTGTGGCTCAAGTGGTAGAGCGCTAGCCTTGAGCTGAAGAGCTGAGGGACAGTGCCCAGGCCCAGAGTTCAGGCCCCATGACTGGACCCCTCCCCCCACCAAAAAAAGAAAAAAAATCATTCAATAAGACAAACTACCTACAACAATATAAAAAAGATATTTTATTAGAAAATTATTTGGATCTTGACTGATCTATAATCTTAAATTTTTATTCTTTAAAATGGGTGCATTGTCTGGTGTGTGTGAGGTATGTAAGTATGTATATATATATCTCCTCTTCAAATATAAATGAGGAAGTGGAGCTGTAGCTCAAGTGGTAGAGCACTCGCCTTGAGCTGAAGAGCTGAGGGACAGCTCCCAGGCCCAGAGCTCAAGCCCCACATCCAACAAACAAAAAATGTACTAGGTGATGCCTTACTTTGGGGAGTATGGGAAGGGATGGGAAGGGGAAACAAAGAGGAGGCAACAATGCTTGATAAGAAATGTACTCGTTATCTTGCCCATGTAATTGTAACCCCTCTGTACAGTATTCTCACAATAAAAAAAAATATATATATATATATAAATGAGCACTAAGTCTCAAAATCCAAATGTGGCAAAATATTAATGACAGAATATAATTGGTACGCATGTTTGTTCACTATAAAGATTCGTTCGATTTTTCTGTATGATTGAAAATTCCCATAATGAAGTATTATGGAAAATTAGACCAAAAAATTGTATTTATCCTCAAGAGGATGAAGCAGAAGATTTCAAGTTCTAGGTTAGCCTGGGCTCTAGAGAGGGACACTTTCTCAAAACAGAATCAAACAGATAAAAAAAATTCAAATTCACTTACCTTGGAAATGGTCTTGGATTAGAAATGGGATTTGGCGGCAACCCACTGCTACTCACAAACATTTGTAAGGATGGTGAAAAGCACTGCTAAAAAACATATTTAATATTAAAGCAATTCTATTGTTCCAGTTTTCAAATGACAGAAATAGCATCCTTAGAATTACTTAGGTATATGTGTATGTGTGTCATATATATGTATATTTATATTTCTAAATTACTACCATAGATTTTTAGTGGTTTCTCAAGTCATTGGATGCTTTAAAACTGAGGTGACTTGTATATGCATGTTTTTGAGGGTAAATAGCTTAATATATAATAGACACCTAATATCATATCAATAATCTTACCTTTCCAAATCCTCTGGTGGGTGAAGGTGCTGGAGAAACAGGAGTGAAGTCGATTCTCTTTGGAGAATATAATTTCTCTTGCTTGTCAAAACCACTATCACCCTGTAAATATAAAGCATAATCAACTCATAACCATTCAGCACATCACAGCTCTTACACACTATTACAAAATACCTACATTTTAAATGTATAAATGAACAGATTCTGATACACTGCTGGAAAAGCAGAGTTCAAAAACAAGAACCAAGCTGGGCGCTGGTGGCTCACGCCTGTAATCCTAGCTACTCAGGAGGCTGAGATCTGAGGATCACGGTTCAAAGCCAGCCGGGGCAAGAGAGTCTTTGGGCTTCTTATCTCCAATAAACCACCAGAAAACCAGAAGTGGCGCTGTAGCTCAAGTGGTAGAGCGCTCGCCTTGAGCTGAAGAGCTGAGGGACAGCGCCCAAGCCCAGAGTTCAAGGCCCACGACCAACTAAAAAAAAAACAAGAACCAAAAAAGCCAGGCACTGGTGGCTCACGCCTGAAATCCTAGCTACTCAGGAGGCTGAGATCTGAGGATCACGATTCAAAGCCAGCCTGGGCAGGAAAGTCCATGAGACTCTTACCTCCAATAAACCACTAGAAAACCGGAAGTGGCACTGTGGCTCAAGCATGAGAGTGCTTGCCTTGACCTGAACTGCTGAAGGATAGTGCTCAAACCCAGAGTTCAAACCCCATGACTGGCCAAAAAAACAAACAAAAAGATTCAATTTGGAAGCAAAAAAGACAGAAGTATATAAAAGAATACAAAAAGCCCATGATTGATATAAGGATTCCTGGAAAATAAAACATAAGAAAATTTAAGAAAACTTTACCAGGCTCAAATTCTCATCCCATGACTGGCTTATCTGCATTGATGTTTGCATTTCCCTGAAAGAAAGAAAGAAAGCGAGAGAGAGACAGAGAGGCAGACAGACAGACAGACAGATGGGGGGGGGAGAAGGGCCATTAGTGTGTACAAATATGACATTTATTAGGTTAGGCCCTGCTTTTGTGACGCACTAACCTTTCATGTTCAATGTCTCTGTTCATCATATCCAGGCCTTCTTCCTACAAGAACAAACATATGGGCTAAAAACATAATTTTCATTCACAAGCCTTCTGTATCTCATCTGACATAATCACACAAGTGAGAAGAACAAACATACTAAGATTGTCAACTGTGTCAAATCAATATTTTAGCTGCACACTTGGAAGTGTAATGTCTGCAACTAACCAGAGTTGTATCCTGACTCATTTGGAGTATCTTAATCTTAAAAACCAAAATAAAAATGTAAAATGTTTTTAAGGCCATCAAATCTGAGGTAGTAGGGAAATTTTTCCTCTTTTGATTTTCTGCAGTCTGCTACGGGAATATGACTAGGTAAGGATGACAACAACTGAAGAAGAAAAGTAAACATTTACACTTTCTCAACCACAACGTAGCAATGTGATATCAGTTCTGGTGTAATCTCTTCCTAGATAATATTTCACATTCTTCTTAGAAATTTAGCTCTTTAAATCCCTGAACATTAATGCACTAGCGGCAGTACATTCATTTTTACATTCACTCTTTAGCAAGTACACCAGGTGTCCAACCTCAAAGCACCATCTGTCACTAGATAGGCACTGACTCTGAGCACTTTTCCTAAATGAATGCAGAACTGTGTACATTTAGGCAGTAAAACACTCTGGGCACTGGAAATATTCGCTTCCTCACTTATCTAAAATTAGTAACTATATGAAAAAGGAAAGGGAAAAAAAGACCACCAATGCTAACAACTTTTAGTTGTAATAATGCCAGCAGGTAAAGTCAGGCTAATAAGCCCAGCATAACATTTTGTTTATGAGTGATGTTCTTCAAAATAGCTTAAAATGACAATATAGACATTTTCTTCTCATACTCTGTATCAGCTCTAAGATTTCATCCTAATGTTATCATCACAAACCTTACAAGCAAAGGAAAAGAAATCCATGTGAGAAGGCAAGCAGTTATTAAAAACTAACTACTAGTCCCTGTATAACTAATAAAATAAAAAAATTAAAAGTAACTGTTGTCTCCTCCCTCCCCGGATAAGATCTTTCTCTCTTTTTTATATCAGTCCTGGGGTTTGAAGTCAGGGCCTAGGCTCTGTCCCTGAGCTTATTTTTGCTCAAGGCTAGTGCTCTACCCCTTGAACCATAGCTCCACTTCTGGCTTTTTGATGCTTAATAAGAGGTAAGAGTCTCACAGACGTTCATGCCTGGGCTGGCTTCAAACCATGATCCTCAGATCTCAATCTCCTGAGTAGCCACCAGCATCTGGCTAATCCTTTTTTAAAAACATGAAGCTGAAATGATTTGGTGGCTGAATTATGTTCCTTTAAAATAATGGTCTGGTTTCAAAATGTAAGCTACAACTGGTACCCACAGATCTTGCTAGGGTTTTTATAGCCATAATGTTAACTACTTGTATTTATTCCCAAAGAAATACTAATAAACTTACAATAGGACAAAACCTAATAAGACAATTATCCTATTTAAGAGGACCCGTGTTTAAAATTTTATAAATTCTAATGTAGTGGGCGGTGTAACCTAGAATTTTAAGTAAAATATAATTCAGGTAAAATTTTCAAAAGTTATCTCTGGCACGATTCATATGCCTTTAATACTCAGCCTTTTCTTTTACTTTTTTTCTCTAAGTAAAATCCTTTCCATTATGAAAACAATACATATTTACTAATGAACAATTAATGAAGACATAGAAAAACACTAAGCTAGCAGGCAAAGCAAGTAAGGCAAGGGGTTGCTTTAACAGGCTGAAGAGTCCTGGGCTAAAGAGTCCTGGGCTAAAGAATGGAAGAGTGTATGTATGTGTCAGAGAACTAACAATAGCCCAAAATCATCAGGAAAGCCAAAGTGAGGATGGTCATAAACTGCCTGTGGAAGATTCCAAAATTTAGATGGTATATCGATATAATACACACGTGTCAATTTTAGACAAAACTACTAGCTCACAAAGAATGATAGAGCACAACAAACCTGCGTCTAGAACCAGAAAACCAAAGTGACCTATCATCTATGGCCATAGCACCCTGAATATGCCCAATCTCATCTGCTCTTGAAGGAGTAATATATCAGCTGAAATAATAATAATAATAATCTTTAATAACAATAATAATCTTTAAAAGACAAGTAAGGGGTTTAAGGAGGTACAGGCCAACAGCATTCCATAAAACAAAGAGCTCAAGTAGGATAAGAAATGAACCCCTGATGACAGCAATTAAGTAAGCACTACTGACATTTCCAAGGACAGTTTTCAATGCACTTGTGGTAGAAGAACAAGATTAAAAATTGGCAAAGAATTACAAAACAAGGTATCAGAGGCAACTGAAACTAAATTATGCTTCAGAAAAGGTTGGAAACAGGATGGGACATGGCTCAAGTAGTATTGTCCCTAGCTAGCAAGAACAAAGCTCTGAATTCAAGCCCTGGTACTGCCAATAAAAATGTTAGAAAAAGGAATAGAAGGAAAGAAAGACATAAGAAAAATAAATTAGTTCATTTTCCTCATAGTATGCTTGTGATTTGGGAGAAGATGATAGAAGGGAAAGAGGAAGAGATCGAAGGCACAAGGCAGAGAGGAGATAATAGCTGACAAAATGATAGGGGAGTTAGAAAATGTATGAATCACAAGGGAGAAGAGCCATATGTGAAGACAAAGACATTGGAAGGAGAAGAAAGCTGACATTATACAAAATACATATCTATTTTCTCTGTGGAGTGAGAAAGGGTCATCAGTTTGAAGTGAAAATTGGTGAAATAAGACAGGAAGCTGGTAGGCTCTAAAACAAAAAAAAAAGATTTAGAAGATGATTTTGAACAGCATAGAGCCAGTGGCACCTTCAATCCCCCAAAAGAATTTATATTCTTCCTCCTCAAACAACCAATCCTCCCAATTTTTCTATTCTAATCAAGGCACTCTGGCCACCAAGAAACATAATTTTAGTCACTTGGCATTCTCCTCCCAGGTCATATATCTAATCAGTTGGCAAATTATGAAACTCCTATTTCCAATTGTTTCTCTTTTACTGTCCCCTCCTTACCTTCCATTGGCCAATGTTTTACTCTTTACAGATTACTATGGGGCACAGATAAGCCATTAGGACTTTTCAGTATACACTTATACAATGTAATTAATATGATGGCGTAGAAGCCTGTGAAAAGGAGACATGAGGATTAAAATGGGTTACAAGGGATGAGAAAGCAAGAAAGGAGTATGGGGGTGAAGATTGCATAAGGACCAATCAAGAACAGTGAATTACTACCACCCCCTTTTAGGACAGCCAGAACACAGGATGTTTGTCAAGGAGTAATGTGAGAAGAGCCTAGACCAGAGCTGATAAGAATCTTCGCATCTTATAAATGAGTTAAGTATGGTTATAGCTATTCTTATCAAGAACACAGCTGCATAACACGTAAAAACATTTTTCACATATCCAACAAAAAAGTAGTTTTATTTCCAAGCATCCTCAGGGAAGGAAGTGAAGCGAATCAAACCTCTAGATTGCTAGATAGCTAACATTTTCCCTTTATAAGTATTTTTAGACACTTCAGGTGGAAATTGAAAATGTGTTGTATTTTGCCCTTTCTCAGATTATACCAAAGAGAATAGCCCTGGAAGATCTTTATTGGAACTCAGCTCTGTTACTTACTATTGTATGAACCTAGGAATCAAAGCAAGTCACTTACGACTTCTGGGTCTTAGTTGCTGCTGTTTTTAATTGGAAAAAAAATTACCTTGTGTCTTGCTTCAGAGGGTTATAAGAATTAAATGAGTGAAAATACTTTGTTAACATGTAAACTGCCACACATATGTAGCTGTTACTAGAAATATGTAGCTGTTACTAGAACTCAGAGATCCTTAAGAACATGATTACCTATTGGATTTAGGGCATGCCTCAAATGGTAGCGCACTTGCTGTGCAAGTGCAAGGCTGAATTCAATCCCTAGTACCAAACCAAACCAAACAAACCAACAATAACACTATATGGTTATTATATGGGTCTATACCAGTGACATCCTTAGGGAACTATCAAAAAGCTTTTAGTCTTCTTACCAAACCATGAAGTACTGTTAAAAAAATCTATCTGCTTTTCAGCTTGTCTCTCTCCATCCTTATAACAAAAATTAGCATACCTTTAATCCAATATAACTTCAGATTTGCTGCTTAAACTGGTTTGGAAGCTTATTATAATTGTGCATAAACTTTAACCCTTATGCATGACTATGGAAATCTAGTTCTGTCAATCAGAAGTCTCTGGGATCACATATCAGATGTCTTCTGAAGCATTAAAGCTGATGGAGGACTGAGTTCCACATGTGATGTGCTACTATATCAAAACTTCTTCCTAATTTCTCCTACTCTAACTATCTAATGAGGTGATCCTCAACAGTGTTGTTTATGGAGGACAGTCACAATCAGTTACTCTCCTGAGACTACAAATGGAAGCATTTTAAAGGAGTCTATACTTTAGAAAAATCACCATTGTATGACAGATGAGTGTCAGAAACACTCTACTATCATTTAAGCATGTTTTCTATCCTAAATCAAGTAAAGACCCTCATTCTCAGCTATACATGAAAGTTAATCCTGACATTTTGCAACTGTGTTGCAAGCAGTGATAAATTAGGAACAATTTTTAAAACTGTAAAGCCTCACAGTAAAGACAACACAAATTTTTAACAAAGTTTCTTTTCTTTGTACAGAGTGGCCACCACAAAACTAGTAAAGAAGACAGGTGAAATAATTTTTTAAAAAACGGGCACAGCACATGATTTCCAGAAAGAACTATATTTGGAATTATTTTCTCTAATCTAAATCACTTCAGATACTTACTTTGATACTTACCAAACTGTGATGGCTCATAATTGTTGTGCTGTTCCTCCGAGTTCTAAATGCACAAGGTTGAAAAACCTCTGAAAGGTCACTGAAAAGTAAAAATGAAATGATCACTGTCTTTCTAAAGGAAGATATATTAGCATCATTTCTGTAATTAGAACCTTCAATGATTCCTCATTTTCTATAGAAAAGACATTCCTTACCGTCCTGGTGGCAGAGCTGGCTAACTAGTGTGCTGAGACACTGATCTCTAGTGGTTGGGGGGACAGTTCTGTGAGGTGTGGGGCGGAGCTCCAGACTGGTTCATTCCAGCTGCTTCAGGTCAGAGCTACATCCCTAAACCAGTTCCCATCAGATGTAAGTGGGTCATCTGTTTTACCCTAGAAGACCATGAATTCAGTTTTGGGTATGTTACACCTGAAGAGGGCTGAGGTCTTATCAGCACATCTCCCAAAAATGTTTCAAGCACCTGTTCTACCTCGGAATCTTGGCATTCAAATGAATAAAACACAATTGAGGGTTTTATTTATTTATTTGTTCATGTTGTCCCTTCTGCCTCAAATGCCCAACCTCCTACTACCATTTGTCTTGCACTCCTTTCACACTTATCCCAAAAGCCCTTCCTCCACAAAAGCAAGGCACAAACCTCTTCTCAGTGGCCAAAATTAATGTCTTCTCTTTTGAACCCAAAGAATCTATTGGGAGAAGATAAATTTCTTTAAACATCTAAAAATTAAAGAATATTTTAAAACACGGCCTTACTATGTTGCCCAGGCTGGTCTCAAGGTCCTGGACTCATGCATGCACCATCACACATGGCAAACACAGTCTTTTTGTTTGTATGTTTTTCTTTTGCAGAACAGGGATAGAACCTAAGGCTTTGAATATGTTAGGCAAGTCCTCTACTTCTGAGCTACCCAGAGCTTTCTGCATGCTAAGTACATATTCTACCACCAAGCTACACCTCCAGCCCCTACTTTGCCTTTCATTAAAGAAAAGTGCTGCCTAGCACTGCAACAAAGAGAAAAGAGAAAAAAAAAACTTTGCATGTGTCTTAAGCCTCTTAGTACAGAAGTGCTTTCTTCATCTTTGTATATCCCTGCAGTGCCTGTGCCCTTTATAAAAGCTCAAGAAGGTTTTTCAGAACTGACACAGCAATGATGGGGCACGTCTGTAATCTCAGCACTTGGAAGATTAAAAAAGGAGGATCACATGTTTGAGACCAGCCTGGGTTACAAAGAGAGATTTTTTTTTCCCTACCCCGCCCTTTAAAAATAATGTGAATTCTTGGGCTAAATGTAATTCTTGAGCTCCAAAGGACCGCTGAGATTCATGACTATTCCAACTGTTTTTTTTCAACTCTCAATTTTTCAGTGTGAAAACAAACTCAGGTTAAAGGAATCATTCATAAGCATAGTTAGTTGATGAAAACTGGGACTGGGCCTGGTCTCTTCACCCATTGTCTTTCACATTACCGTTCAAGGAGTTAAATAAATTGTGATTCACCCAACAGTATTTTATCTACAAGTGTCTAAATGCAGGTCAGTAGGATTGCCCAAGTCCGTAGAAAACGATTGTTTACTAAATTTTTTTAAGACAAGCAAAAACAGAGCAACTGATTATTAAAGTATCCAAAAAATGTAGAGCTAAGGACAGTATCAGTTAAATAAAGGCACTTCATCATTCCTTCATTTTCAAAATTCAATTTAATGAAAGAAAAAGCATTTTTCCCTAAAAATATGTACATTAACAGACATTATGATCAGTTCCTCTGACAAGGATTATATCTTTCTTGGTGTTCATAATGCTTGATCAATGTTTTTGGCTAACTATATTCTCATCCACTTTTGGGGGCTAATGCCATTTCTATGGGTCTCACAGATTACTTAAGATGAATTGTCTTATAAAACTGAAATGTAATAGGCATAAGAAGAGAGCCAACTTAACCTTCACTATCAGAAGATTTACTTTAAAATAGGCCCTGTGGTTTCTGATTTACACAAGACCCTGACACTAAAATTAAAGGGTCCATTCTTTCCATTGTTTGCTCAAACCTGTACTTTCAACTAACGTAAGTAAGCTACAGACCACCTTTAAGAAATTACTCTCTGAACTGCATTTTGGACAGTTTTATAATCTGAATAAAACATTGTGATAAATTCAAATCACTTACTATGAAGTGAATACACTATTTAATGACAAGTTCTTAGATAAACTGATTTATTAAAGCAAACCAAGGTTAATGCCAAAGTTCCTAAACTCAGCTTAGAAATAGCTGCTCTTAGAGCCAGGTGTCAAATTGCAAGCCTAGTTCCAGGGGCTTCAGTTTGACATTCCCTGATGTAAAATAGCCAGGACAAGCAACCTGTCAGAAGAGCCAAAAGCTTTCTGCAATATCTTTTAGAGTGGGGCAACATGGCCCCCAGGTTGGGGGTAGCTGGGCATTTCTCAGACATGGAGTTTGAGGTCAAACTTTCATGCCACCTTGGGACCCAAGTCGCTGTTAAGCAAACACGTCCCCCAATCCCTCCGTTTGGAGTCCAAAATGAACTAACACTTTAGGGAAGGAAGACTATTTTCATACGGGGTCAAGAAGCCTCTGAACCCCATACTCCATCCTTCCCAATCGTGCTCACCTGAGCTCATGGATCAGGGGAGCACTGGTGGATTTCCTCAGGGTGCCCCCATCAGATGTGTCAGGCTCAAAGTCCAGCTCCATTTGCTCCTGAGCCATGTCGGAGACTTGCATGAAGATAGGTACAGCGGGCAGTGCTCAGCTCCTGGTGCTTAAGCTATGGGTTCCCAAGACTCACTGCTGGACTGAGTTTCTAGGGACTGGAGACTGGGGGCGGGGGCTAAGGGGCGGAGACTCGGGCGGGGGGGGCGAGGGGCGGAGACAAATAAGAGGGAAGATAGGGGATGATGTGTGGGAGGGGAAACGGACAGTTTGTATTGGAGGGTGACAGAACGAACTAGAGGGTGGCGAAAAGGAGTGGAGGGAATACAAGATTAAGAGGAGGAACAATAAAGAGCAGAAGGAGGAAAGCTGTGGGAGGAGGGAAGGAGAATAGAAGTTCTGGAAAAGAATACACACAGGGACTGGAAAGAAGGATGGGGAGCGGGGACGAGGAAAAAGGAAGAAGGACAGAGGGAGAGGTGACACAGAGACTACGCAGTGACAGAACGCATGCTGCTGGCTTTCCCGCCGAAGACCTCAAGCCCGGGGCGGCTACAGTTGCCACAGCTGCCCGAGCACTAGCACCGTGGACGTGACTGTTGGGCAGGACCGGGCCACGAGGCACTGGCAGCTCCAGCCCCCCATGTTCGGGGGCTCACACCAGCCCCCCATACTCCAGGCACCGTCCGGGAGGCTCCTCAACCGGGGGAGCGCTGCTTCTCCCGTCCCTGCCCCCCTCGCGCCTCGAGGACTGGGGGAGGTGGTTCGGCCCCGCCGCCGCCGCCAAGATGCCTGCTCCCTCTCTCTTGTGCCCTAATGGCACGAGGGGACATGTAACGGCCAAAACCAAATTCTACAACGTCTCGTTTTTTCCGCCACCCACGCGTCAGAAACGGGAGCTTCCAGCGAGCCAGTTCCGCGTCCAGGCACCCGCCGTGCTCTGCGCAAGCGCCCGACGGTCGCTCCAATGGGCCAAGGAGCACAGAGCATGCGTAGTAGTGCTGTCCCGCCCTCCTCTAACGGAGAGAAGCGTTTCCAGGGAGGGGGTTTCTGGTGCTTTCCTCAATAGCATTGGCCTGGAAACCCTGGCGCCCTATTTCGAAAAGAGCCAATAGTTTGCAGACTGTAGCACCAGCTTTCAGGAGTTTGGACTCATATTTAAAGGAAAAAGAGAGAATGAGATTTCCACGTTACTTCATATCTAACTTATACACGTCAACAACTGTAATTCCTGCTTATTACTTAAATTTCTGTATTTTGTTTGTCTGGAGAGGCTGAATTCTTCAGATAATCCATTTGAATGCACTAATGACAAAGTGCACACACATCTACCACCGTGTGTGTGTGTGTGTGTGTGTGTAATGTAATATCTATAATATGCAATGTAATATATGTAATGTATAATGTAATATATATTTGTTTTCCTTCCTAGGGATTACAGAGATCCTACCAATGATGACTCGGTGCAAGGGAGACCTGAAATTAATCATTTTGCACCTGCATAGCACTTACTAGTGCTAGACTGTATTCTAACAACTGCAATAGAATTGACTTATTTAATCCTCACCAGCTAAAAGGTCCTAGGCCAAGGTCTGAGGTCCTGAAAGGCCATTATATTTTTTAAAATTATACATACTTGGAAAATATGGGAAATACAATAATTGTAAAAGTGGTTTCAAAATGTATGAACAGTAGTTTACCTGCCTCTTCAAATCAGTTGCCCTCTATTAAATTCACCACACCATCATACTAGTCTTTAATATGTATACTTTCCTGTTGTTATAAGAGAGTTTTTAAAGCACTATGGAATAATTTTCTTAAATCTGCTAGCTACATTAGAAACAGCAACTTTAGGATTTTTAAATATTTTAAAATTATGTTTAAGTACTTGTACACAGGAGTTTCAATTCACCATGTCATTTTGTAAACACAATGCATCTTGATCATTGTCATCCCTTTCATCATTTCTCCTCCATCATTCCCACCCTCTCTTCCATTGTTACCCCTTTCATCATTCCATTCTACGACATCACTCCCAACCCCACCCCAAATTGACCTGATTCCATTTTCACATATGTATATTCAAAATTATGACACTATTTCTCTCCATTCTTTGCCCCCCTACCTCACCCCCACAACACAAGTTCTAACCACCTCACCCCTCAAAAAACAAAAGTTCTAGCTTTCTGGTATTTATTATGCTAAACTGTAAGTTCATTAGGGGTTTTCTTTGTTTGGTTTTCTTTTGCAGGTACTGGGGGTCTTGAATTCAAGGCCTTGGCCTAGATTGCTCAACTTGCTCATGGCCCATACTCTACCACTTAAGCCACATCTCCAGCCTTCAACCTCTGGTACTGAAATTTTTTATCTCAGGATTACAACAACATCCACTTCCTTTGCTCAAAAAAAATTGTAAGTTCACAATAGTACTAAACAACCATTTGTTGTCCATATGTACAGCTGCTAAGACTGAGAAACCAATTGAGATGAATTTATTTCAGGAGCCTAACAGTTTTGGAGAAGCTCAAGAACTTAAGGAAAAGGTATTATTTTGACCACCATTTTGGCCATTGTTTCTAGCTTTGATTCACACCATTTTTGCATTCTTAAGTTTTCTTTACATTTCATGTAACTCTTTCAGTACATTTGGGTTACTTATGATTTATAGCCTGAAATTCAACTTGTATTTCACTTGGTCTTGTGGCAACTAAGGGTTGAAATGTGCCTTTAAAGTTGCTATGACATCTGGCAAACTAAAGCACTGATTATGACATACTTGTGGGACACTTTTTCAGGTTAGACTTCAGTAGACAGCAGACTGGGACAAGGCAAGAAGTAGAATAAGTTTTAAAGCTTAGGTCTAAGCAAACCACTAGTTCAAGACTATGCCCTGCTGTTATGGAATGGAAAAAACTGAACAAAACTGAAATACAGCCAGGTTGGTATAATAAGATAGAGATAGAAATAGTAGAGAAGTGAAGATCATTTTTCTCCAATATGTGTACCAATGTAGTGTATAGAGTGCTTTCTGATTTTGTTATATTTGTTCCTTTCGCTATTCTAACCTATGTATATACTCTTTTTTATTATTTTTTGTTGGTCATGGGACTTGAACTCTGAGCCTGGGCACTGTCCCTCAGCTCTTCAGCTCAAGGCTAGTGTTCTACCACTTCAGACACAGCACCACTTCCGGTTTTTCTGAGTCGTTTATTGGAGATAAGAGTCTCACAGCCTTTCCTGCCTGGGCTGGCCTTGAACAGTGATCCTCAGATCTCAGCTCCTGAGTAGCTAGGATTACAAGCGTGAGCCACTAGTACCCGGTTTATGTATATACTCTTAAGTGCTGTCTTCATTTCAACAGGTTTTGGGTTCCTGATTTGTTAACTGCTCTTTAGTCAAAGTAATATTAGAAATATATTGCCATCTCATATATTTACTCAGTTCATTTTACTTAGTTACACTGTTCTTGTTTTAATTATATCCATTTTCTTAGTATCTCTGTATTTGTATGTGCACATATCTATATATAAAATATATAATCTGCATTTTAATATTTTATATTATTTATAAATTATTTATATAATATATAATTTGTAATGCTTTGGCATTTTGACATTTTGTCTATTCAAAATATATTTAATAAACCTTATTACTTTCCAAGAATATTAAACTGTGAGAAATCAAGTGAGCAGGAGAATGTAGGTAAGAGTTCCTTGTTCATTGATTACTGTTATGTCATCCAGACAGTTTGGTTTTGACTCTTTGTGTATTTAGCCACTGCCTTTTATTTACTCTAACTTTACTCAACTTCTGGAATTATCTTTTATAAATTTTGCAGATGCCCTGGGATTTTAACAGTGATTTTCATATGGTGGCAGCAGCCTAGATTCTTCCAGTACCTAATTATTCACCATTAATCTCTGGATTTGTATGAACTGGAAAATAGTAGTAATTCATCTACTTTACAAGACAGCTATAAGGGAAAAATTATTTAAGCCTGCTCTTATTCATAAAATACTTTAATAAATGTTATTGAACACTTATGATTACAAAAATCACTTACTGAAATAGTCAAGGCACCTCATGTGTTTATTAAACAGAAAGGGGAAGGAGTCTTTGCTTTGCCATTTAATGGTTATAATGTGACTAATTCCTCTGAGCTTTGGTTTATTCCTTTGAAAATGGGTATTGTGATGTTTTCTATCCCACAGAATTATTGTAAGCATTAAGTGTGATCACAAATTTAAAGTCATTAGAACAGTACCAGGCAGTAAGTGCCCAATAAATGGTAGTTATTATCAACCTATCTTGCATCAGGATTGGAGACTCCATATCATCCTCATGTCTGGTATTTAGGTAATCTAATTCTGCCTAATATAATCAAGCTTTCCTTATTCTGTTCCCAGAGTGACTGAAGAACCAATTACTTGGATCTTATGTGGCTTAACTTGATGAACTGTGTCAAGATGACTCCATTATTTTAAACTGACCACTGATTAGCTGAGCAGTTGGTGAGTGTGCTAATTGAGATATAGAATAACATTGTATAAACTGAAAAGTGCTATAGCAATGGTATGACTATTATAATTTATAACTCATATTTCACTTGGTTCATTTACCTTCACTTACCTTCACTTCTTAAAGTGTGGGCTTTTCCACTATTATTTGAGTGCAATTGCTTTCAGTACCCAATGTGGCTCATTAACTGGTGGTGAAAAATCCTAAAAGAACAGTTCTTCAATTGTTACAAGTCCCAGAAGCAATGCACAGATGTCAGTACTCTCTGAAACAGAAACATTGATTTGGGTGGATTCTGAGATATTTGTTTGAAGAAAATATGCCTGATTGCCTTAGGACTTTCTTAAATGAACAGGCACAGGGAGCTAGATTTTATACAATGTAAAAATATACACCTTATCCAGGTACAGGAGGTTCATGCCTGCAATCCTAGGTACTCAGGAGGCTGAGATTGCACTTCAAAGCCAGCCTTGGCCAGATAAATCTGAACGAGTTTGTCCAATAAAAACTTGGAACTAGAGACTTCGTTTAAGTGGTAGAGTACTAGCGTTGAGCTACAAAAGGTTTGAGGCCCTAATTCCAAGTCCAGTCCTGACATGAACAAAAAATACATACCCTGTAAGCAGCTTCATTGATTGGGGAGTAAGGGGGAGAAACTAAGCATTTATGTGATTTTCTTCCTCTTCAGACTTTATGGATGTCGGGCTTGACCTCAGGATATTGGGCTTTCAATTCACTCTAGGTTGATCTTCTATCCCTTGAGCCATGTCTCCAATTCTGGCTTTTTTGGTGATAATTGATGACAAATCTCGTAGATTTGTCTTCCTGGCCTGGCATTGCACCATGATCCTTAGATTTCTGACTCTTGAATAGCTAGAATTGCCAGTATGAGCCACTGGCACCAGGCTGTGAGCAGTTTAACCCAGATGGCCAGCATTTGTTTTCGTGTGGTTACTGGGGACTTTACTCAGAGCCTCACCCACTCTATTTCACTCTGTCAGTACTGGTGCTCTACCTCGTGAGCCACACCTCTAGTTCTTCAGACTTTAGGGTTACTACTGCTACTGCTGCTACTGCTACGACAATGACTACTACTGCTGCTGCTGCTACAAAGATGTCATGTATTGTTAGAGAAGAAAATAGCTGTCCTGGCAAATTAAAGAAGCTTGTTGGTCTCAGTCAAACTGGATGATAGACTAGCCAAAAAACTGAGAAAATGGAGTGTAGGGTTGAAAGGAAGGTGCTCTCTACAATTCATTCCTCCTAACTTTCTTTTCTAAATAATGGGTAGGAAAACCATGCCCTGGTTATCATAGATGCAGATGAAAAACAACAGCCAGCAACTGTACACTAGGACAAGAGAATAGATGTCAAGGCACAAGGAGGGAGGGCATG